AGTTTCTTGGATGAAACGCCACTCTGATCCCAGCGTAATGTGACTCGGCACGGGGGGAGTGGTATCAATAGTGACTCCATTCGATCTCAACTCACGCACACCCCCCGCTCTGTTGTACACACGTAGGAATACCGTGTAATTATGACCATGTTGTAGAGCTAACACTTTCTCACTTGTCACGTGAGTTTGCAGACCTACGTCAACAAAGTTCAACACAGATCCCGGATGCTTTTCTCCAATCCCCCATTCGAATCTTTCCACTCTGCTTTCCAAATCCCAGATTCGTTCCCAGTTCGCGCTCATATTTTTCGTGGAAGACTGGTAACGAACATCCGGTTCTAGTATTCCGTCGTGCACTACACCGGATGTTGAAGGGGTCGGATCAATAAGGACTCCATCCGAAGCTAGGCATGATTTTAATCCTGCGTTATTTATAGCACACACTATGACGTAATACACGTCTTTGTGCAAACTTAGCCCAGATATTTTTGCTGACGTGTTTTGGCCAACGTCTATGAATGACGTCACATCCGGTTCGCCAACCCGATTCCGACTGACTGCAACTTCAAAATGGTTTATCCCCGAGTCGTGATCTTGGATCCCGGTCCAAGTAGCAGACAGCTCCCCCCTGCTTGACTGATAATCTATATCATCATCGCCACTACCGTCTAATACCATCGCCCGTTTCAGATCAGGGGGGTTCACGTCAACTATGAATCCGTCCGAGGAGACAGGCTGAGTTTGAACGCCGGCTAGATTTTCTGCTTTGATTTTAATACAATATTTCTGACCGTTGACCAGACTCAGTCCTTGTATTCCAAACGAGGTAGCCGTGGCTGGATTAACCGGTATAAACTGGTTATCAGTCACGTGATAGTTTCCTTTGATGCAGCTACCGACAGCAATAAAGTAAGCTCGGACTTTAATGTTCGCTGTTTCAAAACCTTTCCAAGTCGCGTAAATTTCGGATGTGTTCGTTTGGTAATCGATATTTATCGTCGGGTCTTCGCCGTCCGACACCGTACCGAGACCTGGAGCTTTACTTAAGAGGATGAGGATAGGTGATTTTATGTCAGCATAAAGCCCAGCGTTGTTGATACCACGTATAGTCAGTTGATATTCTTTGTTGTTTGTTAGGTGGAGTGATCTAAATTGAAACAAAGTAGGAAACATTGAACATATAATATGTTATTTGACGAGGACAAAGGTTCTCGAAGAGGACAAAGGTTCTCGAAGAGGACAAAGGTTCTCGAAGAGGACAAAGGTTCTCGAAGAGGACAAAGGTTCTCGAAGAAGACAAAGGTTCTCGAAGAGGACAAAGGTTCTCGAAGAGGACAAAGGTTCTCGAAGAGGACAAAGGTTCTCGAAGAGGACAAAGGTTCTCGAAGAGGACAAAGGTTCTCGAAGAGGACAAAGGTTCTCGAAGAGGACAAAGGTTCTCGAAGAGGACAAAGGTTCTCGAAGAGGACAAAGGTTCTCGAAGAGGACAAAGGTTCTCGAATCGCTTCGACGTGCTACTCTAGCAAATCTCAGAAAAATTAAGAACTTCGCAACTTTCTCCTGAGGAAACATTTGGCTGAAAGCTTCATTTTTTCTCGTTTAGACTTTGGTGACATTGTATTGTATCCACTAACCCAACATCTTCTCAAGAGACTGCAGCGAATACAATACTCAGCGGCTAGATTTGTGACTAGACGTTATGTAAATAACATCGAATCGATTTTAAAATTAAGCTGGTTATCCATGCGAGAAGGAAGGGACTGGCACTAATCTCTTGTACTAATTATAGATGAGACTTGAAGTTTCGAATGTGAAATTTATTTGACCCAGAGTAGTTGCGAAAAATGCAACCGGAACAAAACAGGGAGACATTTTGTTTTTATCCGGAAGTGAAGAGGAGATCTGGAGCTGAACAATCAATAAAATTGTGGGAAAAGCACTATCCACCTTCCGAGTATATGCTACAGCAGCTTATTTACAGTGATTGCTTCGCGGAAAGCTAGAATCTACTTATACTATCCAGGCTCGTGGTTGGTTCATTATAACAATGAAAGACAATAAAACTATAGAAATCGTCTTTCTAAAGAACGAGTCGCGAACAATGATCATTTTTGTTTTTGAAAGCCAATCACAAAACATGAGCATTTTAGGTAGGTCTTTACCCAGTTTGTACTCACCTTAGAACAGCTTTGGTAGCAAGTTTAACTCCAGGTACATCTTTCCACGATGTTGGCTGCACATTCTTCTCGACAATAGTCCATTGATATTTCCTCATCCCGCTATGTTCGTCTACAAACTGTGGCCAAGAGACTGTCACGGAGTCTTTATCTCTGATATACACCACTGTCTCGCCATTATTTTGAGCTGTCTCACCCTGGACGCTCATACTGCCTGTATAAACTGGATGGCTTATATCGATAAACACTCCGTCTGATTTGACATCAACGTAATGTCCAACTTTATCAACTGCTCGTACTGTCAGATAGTACGTATTACCATTTGAAAGGCTTAACCCTGTGATAGTGATTTTAGTTTGAAGACCCGCAGAAACCCATGATGTAATATTTTTGTTATTCTTATCCGTTAATTTGTATCTATATTCCGCAAGTCCGCTACCCTTTTGCCCGTCGTCAAATCCATTCCAGTTTGCGTGAGTCTCGTTGTCCGCAGATTGATAGTCGACGTCTTCCGAGGTTCCATCATTGACCGTGCCAGGTCGCGGTGCAGAGTGGTCTATGAGGAGACAGTCGGAAGAAGCCTGGGTACTAAGACCGGCCGCGTTGACCCCTTCCACAATAGCGCAATACTGGATCCCCGAGGTTAGAGTCACTCCCGACACTTGACCGGCACGTCCCAAACCGACCGAAGTCAACCCGGACGAAACCAATCCGCCATCTTTTCTTTTCACACCGAGCTTGTACTCGACAATAGGTGTATGAGCGTCCGTGAATTGGGTCCAGCTGGCATCGTAGGTCCTAGTCCAGCTAGCATACTTGAGATCGGAGGACGGGCCGTCCGAGACCGTCCCTGGTTTAGGCTTGGAGGTATCGACCGTCACCCCATTGCTGGAAATTTCCGAATAAAGACCTGCCTTTGTAAATGCTCTGACTTTTGTGATAATTTCACTGCCATCTGTGATTACTGAAAAGATTTTGGAAAAAGATGCTTTGAGGTTGACATCAGTAAAAAATTGTAATACAGTGTCGTTATGGTACACAGCTATCTCATACTTTGCTATACCATGACTTGTTTTAAAACCACCCCAGGTTGAACTGATCGTTTTACTTGACTGGAATTGAACGTCTTTCGAGCCCAGTCCATCGCGAATCCATCCTCCACTCGGCCTGCTGGTATCTATGGTAACCACGTTGCTACATACAGGTAACCCAGACTGTCCACGAATATCGTAAGCCTGTACAACTACTTTATATGCCTCGCCGATTTGTAAAGTTAACCGGCTAAGGACGTGGTTGTTTGTGTTAGTCAGGTTACCGGGTTTTTTACCAAGAGCGCAGCTGTCCTTGCCTTTGAGTAAAGACCATTTTATAGTGAGCGCACCACATGTGACTGCAAAACCAGTTAGTTTAAGGTAGAATTTGTCCGTGGTTGGTTGGTATGCGATGGAACTTGCGAAGTTTGAAAGAGTTAAAGCAGATTGCCCTCCTTGAATTCTAATTGCGTCGACAACACGCGGTGGACATGTTCCCAGGGCACCGTTACATCTGTGAAAGAGAAATTAGACTATTTTATTTTTGGTTATGTTATTCTATCTTCTTGCCACCTTTTGTTGCTGAAAATCTTGATTCTTTTTGCCTTAAATTTGATGCAATACTTTCCGGAAACATGGTAGGAAACAATGTTTCCTGATTTGTTCACCTTTGGGAAACATGGCGGGAAATAATGTTTCTTGGTTTGCCCACCTTTAAGAAACAGCTAGGAAACAATGTTTCTTGGTTTGGCCACCTTTGAGAAACATGGCTGGGAAACAATGTTTTCTGGTTTGCCCATATTCAGAAAACATTGCTAGGAAACAATGTTTCTTGGTTTGTCCACCTTCACGTAACATGGCTAGGAAACAATGTTTCTTGGTTTGGCCACGTTCAGGAAACACGGCTGGAAAACAGTGTTTTCTGGTTTGTCCACCTTCGGGAAACATGGCTAGGACACAATGTTTCCCGGTTTGTCCACCTTCAGGAAACTTGCTAGGAAACAATGTTTCCTGGTTTGTCCACTTTCGGGAAACATGGCTAGGAAACAATGTTTCTTGGTTTGCCCACCTTCGGGAAACATGGCTAGCAAACAATGTTTCCTGGTTTGCCCACCTTTGAGAAATATGGCTAGAAAACAATGTTTTCTGGTTTACCCACCTTTGAGAGACATGGCTAGGAAACAATGTTTCTTGGTTTGTCCACCTTCAGGAAACATGGCTAGGAAACAATGTTTCCTGGTTTGCCCACCTTCGGTAAACATGGCTAGGAAACAATGTTCCCTAGTTCTCCAAGGCATAACTAAAAAAATCGTCATGCATGTTGACCGAACTGTCCTCTCACCTTTCAGGTTGATCACACTTATCCACAACTGGACGGCATATTGTCCATTTGATTCTCATGATATCCCTACAAGTACCGTCTCCCACGCACTCAGAGCGTTGTATACAACTGATCTGCGGGTAGGATGATTGACAACTGTATGCCTTACCCACACATCGGCCGCTTTGACAGAGATCTTGTTTCGTACAGGGATTACCATCGGTACAAGAGACCGCGGGTCTGTTGGTCCACACAGAGCTTGATTTGGAAGCTTTGTCATAAAGGTCACACCACTGACATTGATTGCCTGGATTTAGCTGTTGGTGGTTGTAGTCTTTACCTGTTACCAAGAAATGTAAGTTTGACTTTAATTGACCCAGTCAGTAAATGTGTGTTTATGTGGGTTGCCACCCAATATACTTTTCGGAAAGTGCTCCATCTTGGCCATACAGTCTCCTTTCGTGTTTGAGATGCTGGCTTCAGAGCCTTTTATCTTGTCTCCGATGACACAATTTCGGAATCGCAGGGCCGCAGGTTCTATTCCTGCCAGAGGGCCTATAGCTGCATTTTCGTAGCTGTTCCTGTTAGGTCGTAATAAATGTATAAAATGCCGGAGGACTAGGCCAAAAAAAAAATATGTGGGTTTCCGGTTTCTTCTTATAAAAACTTAGGTAGGGTAGGTCGGTTTTAACTTTTTTTTTTAATTTAAACTTTTTTTTTAATTTTCCGAACAAGCGGACGCCATTTTGTTTAGTCAGTGCTTCCACATCCAAAGATAAATTTCCCTAATATTTCCTCAAATTTCAATTTTCCACAAACTTTTTCTTCTAAGTGGAAACACTTACAAGCATGATCCAATAAAAAAGTTTAGGGTCGGGATTTCGACGTCCAAAAGCTAGGTAGGGTCGGGAAACCGGATACCCACTTTTTTGGCCCTAGTACTAGTATTCCATTTTTTGCAACCGTTCCAAGTTAGATTTTAGATGTTATGTATATTTATATGCTCACTGGGATTACCCACCAAACCCAAAAATCCATACAATTTGCTTTAAAATGCAATGCTTTGACATGCAATGCTTCAGTAAAACCTTTATAATTTGTATTACATGAAGTACGTGTAACATCACAATAGCGTTGCATCACAGAGTAGATAAGACATACTGAGACGTAACTGACCGTTGTAAACACTGCGGAAGATTACGTTATCATGTACCCACTTTTTTTCAGGCGACCGGGCGAAAAATGATCAACTGCGCGTGCTCAGCAAGTTTAAAGTGAGTCGTCATCATGTCGCATAGTTTTGACCAAATTGAGCCACGAAGTTGATGAATTTTCCTCGGAATTTTCGCAAAATTAACTCGTTTAAAAGTGATGAGAGAACAAAAAAACACGATGTACAAACACCATAGTGAGTTAGTCTTTTTTAATGAATTTCGATGTTTATGTACGAGTTTTTTTCGTCATTTAGTTTTTGTATACAGTTTTAAATTTGTATTTTCTTGCCAATCTTGGGGATATATATTACATAATGATGCAACGCTATTGTGATGTTACACGTACTTCATGTAATACAAATTATAGAGGTTTTACTGTACAATGAAACATTGCATGTCAAAGCATTGCATTTTAAAGCAATTGTATGGATTTTTTCGGGAGACCAATGGTAAAAGGACAAGTGGAATGATCGCATCGGAAAAGGAAAAAATAGAGTTCGTTCCAGTCTCGCATCCTACATTTTGTAATTTTTATACAGGTATTATTTAATTTATTTTAGATAATGCGGTATTTGATTGGTCGCCAAGTTCAATCCGCGGAACCGGACCAAAAAAAGTTGAAAATATTTCAACTTATTATTATCCAGCCAGCAACGTCGCCGGATCAACCGGAACCAAACATTTCTACTGATGGCGTTTCCGCGGATTTTGGTTTGTTCCGATCCGGTCCGATCTGCTGCTTATTTTCCGGAGAGGAAATTAGCTTTAAGAGCCATCCCTTATTGTTCCAGTGTTACCGTAGGAAAAAAACATACACTAACTCTGTTTATGCTGGATAGCTCTATCAGTTCTAAATTGTCCAGTAAGAATCATCTCTTATTAACCCAGTGTTATTACAGGAGGAAACCTAAACAAAACAAAAAACTAAACTTCATTTATGCTGGATAGCCCCATCAGTTCTAAACTGTTCTTGCTGGAGGTCCGTTGAGAGCCAACCCTAATTGATCCAGTGTTATTAAAGGGGAAAATATTATGATCAGTAATGTTCACCCACCTGCTATTTTACAAGTACATTTTCCTCCAACATATCCAAAACCTGTATTCAAACTACAACCATTTCCATCACAGTATTGACACACTGTATTGCACTTAAAACTGATGCCGCCACATTGGCCATTTGTACATTTATCTGAGCGCGTGCATTTCTGCCGATCATCACAAGATATTCCATTTCTGTTTGTCCATGCAGATGTAGTCGTACTTGGATTGCACCACTGAAGATATAGATTTTTCAATTAGTACTTTTAACTAGTTAATTAGTGCTTTGAGAAGTTTGTATTTTCGCAGAAAATGATTTATTCTACTTCCGTCGTAATTTGGATAACACGTTGAAATATGGCTTCAACAATAAACGGTGAATCATATAATACGACGTTGTTAATCGCAAAATCTGAGGTAAAAGGAAGTTTGTCGAAGTATTTAGTGAAATGTTGGCCTGATTTTAGTTACTGCCTATTCTGCATTTTCAATATTTGTACAGAGGTTAGTTTTTACGACATCTGTCCATTTAACTCTGTATAGGAATACCACACTACTGCCACTAGGAAGAAACGAAAATGCAGAATAGACAGTAACTTACACCAGGCAAACATTACACTAAATGTTTACTATGTTGTACAAGCAGCGATTGGGGCAAATTTCAAACGACCTACCGTATTCTCTGATTTTGTGATTTACATCATCGCGTAATATAATTTACATAAACGTGGACTAACATATACAATTCAATTTCAATTTATTAAATTGCCACAAAAAAGGAATTCTTTCCAAAAGAAAAACCATAAGGCTTATTGACACTTGTGGACTTTCTCTTTTATAGACGTATTACAGTAATTAATTCACAGCTGTGCTATAGTAGTCAGATAGACTAAATTTGGAATCACTGGGTTGGAGACCCAAGTATTAAAAACATACTATAGTCGAGAGAATAAGAAGTTTTTTAATTTGAATTGGAATTGATGAAGAGTTGGTGCAAGACGAATATCGTTACTTAGTGTATTTAAAAAACTTGAACCTTGATAGGACACAGAGAATTGGCGTAACTTGGTTCTAGGCAAAACTAGTAATTTGTCGCTTTTGCCGCGGTCGAAAAATAATATAGTTTGACTTCAGATAACTTAAGTAACTCTATATTGACGATGTTGGTCAAGTTATATAGATCATGATGAGAAAAAAATAGATTGGTATCATCAGCAAATAAGACCAACTCCAAGACATCTGAGACATTGCAAATATCATTAATATATATCAGAAATAGTAATGGTCCAAGTACGGACCTTGAGGTACTCCACGTCTTATGGTTTTTTAAACGAGGACGTTGCCCCATTGCATTCAACATATTGTTGTCTGTTTGAAAAATAATTTCTTAGACAATTAAGTGCCAGATGGTGAGTTATTAATGTGTTAGATGATATATTGTTATTCTAACATAGATGATGAGTTATATTGTTATTCTAATGTGTTTCACAGCCATTTTCCCTTCGATAGGCTATGCCCTACCTGACATGGGTTCCCGGGTTTTCCCGTATTCGCGCGGTAACATGTGTCCACATTGTTGGTTTTGATGATACAGTATCCAGACTTTCGCCTGCACGTGTCGTTGTAGTGATCTTGGCATGATAGACACGTGTAAGGTTGTCCACGACATTCTCCATTAATACAACGATCGTTTCTTGTCTTCACGTTATTATCGCTGCATTTGAGGTTGTTGTTTGCCGTCCATCTTGTCGGGTTGTTACTGTTGCATTGCTAGAAGAATATATAATTTATTTCGAGCAAACCTTGTAATTGTTTCATGAAGTCTCAATCTACCTACCCAGTACCTACCTGCCTGCCTACCTACCTTCCTACGAGGGCCCTGAAGGGGTAAAATGGGAACTGGGATTGATCTATTTTTAGACTGGGAAAATGGGATTTGGGTTGCTGGGACTGGGATTTGGCCACTGGGAATGGGAAACGAAGTCCTCAAAAATGGGAATGGGATTGAGATAATGCCAGTCAATTCTCTATTTTTCTACGTTTTAAGTATTTTAAAATACAATTTTGATCCGTTTTTGGTGTTTTTGGTCATGATTTTTGTTGTTAACTATATTATTCACAGCACTACCTGCGAACAGGCATACTCTGACGCCCGGAATTCTGGGTTTTCTGATTATGCGTCTCTCAGAATGCTGCAAATGCCATTTCCGGGATTCAAATTTAAAAATTTTCCGTGCCTTCGGCACGAGCCCCCTCCCCAATATTTCATAAAGTGTCCGCCACTTGCACACACAGGTCTTAAAAGGTCTTTCTAGGTCACAGGTCTTAAAAGGTCTTAAAACTGTTTATTCTACCGATAAATAAAGGGTTTTTTATTGACTGGGATTTCAATAACTCGGACTGGGATTTCTAATAAAAATC